AATTCATGAGCAGGGGGATATTTAAAGGGATATTTAAAAACAGCCCCCATTGCCATCTACCCTAAATTTGTCATGTACTTTTTTTCATATTATTGCAATTTTAAAAGTGGATAACTACTGAAACTATTTTAATTTGTAAGTTTTGAATTAAACATACTCAAGTTTTTCTAATTATGTGGGCTTATTGTTACTGTGAATAATTCAAAGTTGATATAAGTTCTTTGAGTAGGCTCATTCCTTTCATAACATTTCAGTGATGTTCTTAACTTAAACTATAAATATTCTTGAGTATTATATAATTTTAATAACATTTATCAGTGTTACTAAAAGTATAGTAGATACGTCAGTGACATTTCCTACACTGCCATTATCCCTTCCTAAGATGTTTCAACTTAAACGCTGCTTCTGAGGTGGGTTGTGTATTACATCCAGTGTTGCCCCCACCACCCACCCCAGTCTTAACTATGACAGGGATAGACACCTAACCCAAGGTTGAGCCATTCAGATTCTCTCATGATAGGAAGTGACTATAGTCAGACGGTAAAAGAACTTTATATTCAGGCACACTGACAGTCAAGTATGGGGTGCCATGCTGGGCCACATCCTGATGACTAAGAAAATGAAGTTAGTCTGAGAGAGAAGTGAAAAATTTGAGTTGATAAACAGAGACAAGCAAAGATAGGGGGATATGAAGCTGCATCAGAGGTAAAGGGAGTAGCCCTGGTTGCTGACTCCCTGTTTCCCTTTCTAAGCTGCCTCAAGTCTATCTGTATTTCACTTCCTGTTTTTTGGATGCTTATGAGACTAAGTGCTGTATCCCCATCATAATTAAATTATATGTATGACCTTGTGAGTTCTCAAACAAATATAACAGTGATATTCAGAGCCACTCTGTGCTGCTGTGAAATAAGACAGAGTAAAGAGCACTAGGCTAACACATGCAAACACACACATGCCCACACTGAAACATCTTCCCTTCTAGTTAACTTGGGTGATTACTGCTTCTTTATTACTATGGCAACTCTAGACTCATAGTAGTTCTAAGACTTCCTTAATAAAAATGACAAAGATCTAATATCAGCACTCGAACTACAACTGGACTTTCTTCCTTAAATCTTAACTCAAGGTTAAGCTTACACTTATAGGCTATTCTCAACTCTTTAAGAAAATTCTCATGGTTCCTCTGAAGCGAATCCTCCACTGCTCCTTAAGCCAAATAAATAAAATAATTTTGGATCAAAGGTTGTTCTGTCATCTTGGGCTGGTATGTTTTGATACTTGCATACATATCTAATTTTTACTTATTAGTTTAAAAATTGAGAGGCTATTATTTTTCTTAGAGAAAGTTCACCAAGCTCCTACAAGTTCATACTAAAAAATCCTTAATCATTGCCAAGAGGAACACACACACACACACACACACATCAAAAGCTATGCAAAAATAGTAAATGTTAATAAATGAACTTAAAAGATGTGAACAACGCTGATTACTCTATAATCATATAGTAACAAATTTAACACAGTTCAACTAATAAAAGTGATAGACAAATTAAGAAAATAAAAGGATATTATTTTGACATGTGTTTTAAAGGACAAAGACAATATAAACTACTGATAATTATTCTATGAGAAAAACTCAAATGGAATACATGTGAATTAAGAAAACCTGAATATAAAACAACAAAAAAGATGCAATTCAAATATATTTTATGATTATTTGAAATTAGGAGTAATTGCTTTCTCTTTTCATAAGATGCTAAAATATCCTCAGTTATCTAAATCCAGTTTTGTTCCTACCATGTACACATGATGAAATCAAAAGCACTGAGATTTATTCATTAGAAGGATTATTTTTGAACAGAAATATTCAACAACTACAGGTAAGATATTCTTATCATGTAATTCTCCTGCTCTTCAGGATAGTTTGATAGTTTTTCTTCTCAGAGGAGAGAAATAATGCACCAAACTATGGAAAAAGGGGAAATGGAGCAGAGGGAAAAAGAAAGAATGATCAAGAGTACATGTTCAAGAATGAGAACATGACAGGATATGTAACTTCCATAGGCTGAGGTAGAGAGCAAGAACAGACTGTGCACACAGGGGAGCCATCTCATGGGTGTGGATGATTGATCAATATTGGGAATTCTCACCACAGAACACAAATTTCATCTATCTCCCCTTATTTTATTTTCAAAACTTACCTCTACTAAACATTATCAGTAACAAAAATAAAGTTCTATTCAAGTACAAGAGAAAAAGATACTCAATATTATGTACAAGAATCTAGGCTAGGCAATGTTAATAAAACCAATAAAACACTTCCTATTTACAGATGAAAATAATTTTATTAATATTGTATAAATAAAACGGCAGAGAAGACCAGACGAGGAGGCATTAATTTGGCATAAGGAATCTGAAGCAGGACTCAATGGATGAGAATAATTTTAAGGAAAGAAAACCACAAAAAGATCCAGTGCAGAAGAAAGAGTCGTACAAATAAAAAGAGATGTGACATGTGTGACTCACTGAATATTAAAGGAACGTCTTCTATAGTAAAAGGCCAGAGACTAATTGAGTCTGAAAAGGAAGGTTATGACTAAATTGTGAGGGATACCAAATGTTGTTCTGGAGTACCGCAGAGAATTCTAGATTTGTTTCATTGTTCAGCCTAGCAGAAATATGGAGGACTATACCTTAACAGGGTCAACAAGTAATGGCATTTACAAAACAAAACTCAAAACCAAATAATCTCCCATTTGCTTTCTTCATTTTATTACGAAAAATCATTTTAACAGAAAAGGAGGAACATTAAATCAACATAGTTTTAAAAATTGGATATATTAAAATTTATTGGATGTAGAAAAGTGAAGAAATAAAATTATACTCTGCTAAGTACACACAAAGTGAACTTTGAATATATAACTTGTTCTAATGCTTCATTTTTTAGCATAGTTACCTTTTAAAAAATGCAATAGGACTATTCCTAATGCTCTTTCAACTCAGTTCAGAGTTTTTGAGGTAAACTTAGGGAAGCCCATGAAAAAAACCTCTTAATTACGAGGATATTTCTCCAACCTTCTCTGCAGTGCTGGGAAGAAATAAGGAACAGACCAGATGTCTGACTATGGAAAATTCTGGAAAAGGGGGCTGGCTACATATGTGGGGTTCTGACTGACCAACATAGAGCAGTTAAAGGTCATCTGATAGTAATTCCTTAGAACTTAAAATTGTCACAAATTATCATTTAGAAACCAATAATGTAAACCTCATAACTTCAAATAATTCAGTCCTTCTTTGCTTTCGCTACTGAAAAACAGAGCTAAATTTGTGTCCTAATTTTAGCAACAGTACAGGATCATCACTAACATTGCTACATTACTAACTTTATTCCATGTTTAGTTTAGCATGTCTTTGTTCACTATTTATGATTTTCTTTGGTAAGTCTGTAATCATTTCTGGACAACATATACATATATAATAGAAAAAAAGGATTTTGGGTAACAAGGAAACATTTAAGATTTATTTTTCAATAATGCTTATTGAATTTTTTTCTTATTATAATTATAACATGTTATAGGGTCACTGCACTAACCATTCTTTTGACCTAGGACACTCTTCTAGTAAACTGCATGGCTTATCTCCTTTAAGTCTTTGCTGAGATGTAACTTTTTTATTGAATAATTTAAAATTAATTACCCTTCTTTAAAACTGCAACCTAATCATGACACTGCTATAATCCCAATTCCCTATGATGTATTAGTGCTTATCATTTTACACAGCACTTGTACCACCTTCTAATGTGCAATCTCATTTAATTATTTATTTTGCTTAGTGTTTATTTGTGTTTTCTCTTTGATAGAATATAAGGTCCACAAGGCAGGGATCTTTGTTATTTACTAATATATTCCAAATATCTAATAGCACTTGGTCTAGAGCAAGAAGACAACCATATGACACTATTCTAAAAACTTTATATGCATTATTTAAAATTTAATTATCACAAGTCCTCTATGTGGGAGTATTATCATTGACTACATTCTACAGAAAGAAACTAAGCTACAAAATGGGTAAGTAACTCATAAAGATCATATAAGCTAAGAAAGTAGTGAAACAAGGATTTAAATTCAGGTTATTAACTATTATTGTCTCCACTAATAGAGACAGATTGTGCAAAAGCAATTAAGACAATAACAGAACAGGTACAGAAAAATGTCTACAGTAAATAGGAACTGAAAAGCAAATATATATATATATATATATATGTATATATATATTCATATATATATATATATATGAAATTTGCTTATTGTATGTCTGCTAAATCCAAGGAATAGCACCTAAAGCCATCATTTACTTATAAGATATCAACTAGATATTGATTACCCCTTTTTGAAGCTCATGAATATTTATAAGTCAAAACTTCTTTTTAAAGAAATAAGGCTTCAGACAACCATACTTTCCAAATCTCCTAATACAGGTGCATGTATTAAATCCTCCCAACAGTTAATTTATCTTCTTTGTCTTCTCACTTCATTTTAGCTGCTACTGAGTAGAAGATAACAGCTTCATCAATTCCCAGTTAAGTATTTCTTTATATTTTCTCAGTTAAGGACTGTCATGTTACACACTATTTGTAACTAAGCAAAGTCACTTAAAGAAATATCAGTCTTATAGTTAGAAGGAGATTTTAGACATCACTGCTTAGCAAACATACAACCTAAAAAAGGATATATAGCAGATGGAGATTGCAAGGGCCAGAGTTTCTCTTTCCAACAATTTTTCAAAGTTTTTCATTCTATTATGAGCACTGATTGTGAAAATACTCTATGCTTTTTAATAACTAAGGAGAAAGCATACATGAATATCTTACTAAAATTTGTGGAAGCAATGTCTTCTTATTCTTTTGGCAATAAATACTCCTTTAGTAACACAAGTTATGCCATGATTAATAGATACATTATAGGAAACTAAAATAATCAGAACATAGAGAGAAATCATACCTTCTATCAATAGTTCTTGTCCATGACTGCCAAGAAGTGTACGAGATAGGAATGGGGCAAAGTCTACAAAAATTTCACGAAGAAGAGGAGCAACTTTTTCTAAAGCTCTTTCAAGTTTTGCAGTGATGCTGTTGAAATTAAGACATAAAGACTAGTAAATATGGTTCAATATAAAATGTCAATTAAATTTTACTTCTAAATTAAAACCTTTAAAAAAGTCACAAAAGTACAATTCTAACCCACTAAACAGTAACAGCTTCAAGTAGAAGGCACAATGTAGAGTTTTACATTAGTCACAAAGCTACTCAAAAGGCCACAGCTGTATCAGAACGGTTACACTGTGAAAAGGAGCCAGTGTCCTGCCACCCACAAGAGCACAGACACTGGCCACAACTGGAGGAGCTGCAAGAAAAGAAGCTGCTATAGGTCTTCTTTGTCTATCCTCCTTTTCACAAAAAAAACCTGTTCCGAATACCTACTATATGAGTCACTGTGAAAGTTACAAAGTATAAATTCTTGTTCTCAAGAGTTCCCTGAAAAGCTGGACAAATAAGGGAATAACTGGAATTCTGTATGACTGAGCTGAATTGCTTTGCCAAAGTAGGCATTTTCTATATCATAAGCCCACTCACTTTTTATTTACCAACCATTACATCATTATTTATATTGTTGAATATTAAATTTCAAGTTACATGGCCTTACATAAGCACTCTGATATTCTTGAAAGCACCTCGAGTAGGATATGTAAAAATAAAAACATGGATAAAGAAAATAATTCTGCTGAAAAAATAAATTCTGCTCAATAATTCTGCTCAAATAAATAATTTGGTTATATCTAAATCTCTCTCTTAGAAGTAAGTACTTTAGAGTAAGAGTGCTTGGATTGGAGGGTTGACTCCATGTATGCTACCCAGGTGACCCTGAGACATCAAGCTTTCTACATCTGCAAAATGAAGATGATAACTCTACTTACCCAATGAGAGTTAATGAGTTAAGGCATGTGAAGTGCACAAAAAAGAACCTGACATACAGTGAGAGGTCAACAATGATAGCTCTTCTAACTGTTACTTGGAATAAAACACACCTATACTTACTCATACAAAACGTGACTCATATATATGAACCAAAACAAAATCAATATAGTAACCTTAGATAAGCACACACTCTTCTATATGGATGACATGTACAGTAAGGAATTAAACAATACTTCACAATAATAAGAGTTCTTCCACAGTGCTGAGTAATATTTTTGTTATATATGAGGAAACCATAAATGACAAAAAATTAATCACAAAAAAATGGGCAGCATATGATTAACATGTAAAACAAAACTATTTTATTTTTTAAGTGAATAAAGAGGAATTATGAAATAATATAGGATAATAATAATAATAATAATATCCTATATAAAATGGGATAACATAGAATTATATAATAAAGGATACTTTCTCTTCTAACTTGGAATCAGCATGATATGAACTCTCTCTTTGTGTACACAAAGCCTCACCATTAGACTGCAATTTAACTTTGCCTCCTCTTATATGGGTCAACAGGTTTACATAAATAAGAACTCAGGTTTAATAACTTAAAGAGAATATCCTGGAGGAACATTTTTAGGCAAGAAAAAGGGAAATGGTGGGGCTTTGCAGACTAGCTAAAGATAAAGAGCTTTCAATATTTGCCCCTACTCTGTTACTCCAGGAGGAAATACCTACATTAGGGCAAGGGTTCTCAATTTCTCAATTTTTATTTAGTGTATTGCAGAAACATCACTAAAAATGGAAGTCATCTTTCTTTAAAAAAAAAAAAGAAAGAAAAAAAGCACAGAAAGAAGTGAAAGATACTGAATACTGTCTTCAAAGAATTAAAAGAAAATAGTTGCCAACCAAGAATCTGTTCTGGTTCAAAATATCTTTCAAAAATAGAGGTGAATTTCAAATATTTCTAGTTAAAAAAAAAAAAAAACTGAACGAATTCATGAGTGGTAGGCCTACACTAAATGAAACAAAAGGAGTATTCTTCAGGAGGAAAGAAAATGATAGCGCACAGAAGTCAGACATTCAAAAAAAATGATGAGCAAAAAGAAACATAAACATTTGGGTAAATATAAATACATGTTGACCAATAAGACAGTAATTGTACTCTCTTGAGGCATTTAAAATTTAACATGCACACACAAAGGCATATATATGTATAAATGTGGTTACAAAATTTGGACTAAATGAAGTTAAGCTATACTGAGGTCCATGCATTGCCTGGGAAGAGGACTTAGATAATCAAGAATTAATGTTCCAATCTGGAGGATGAGCACTTAAAACACTGTTTCTCAAAGTGTATTCTCAGAGTCAGCAGCACCAAGATCACTTAGTGTAATGGTTAATTTTATGTGTCACCTTGACTGGACAACAGGGTGGCCAGATGTTTGACTAAACATTATTCTGGGTAAGGTCTGTTGGAGTATTTCTGGATTAGATGACAATTTGAATGGGTATACTGAGTAAAGCAGATTGTCCTCCCTAACGTGCCTGGGCCTCATTCATTCAACTGAATATGTAAATAGAACAAAAGGCTGGATAAGAGGGAACCCCTTTACCTGATAGCTGGTCTCTGCTGGCCTTCAGACTCAACTGAAACATCAACTCTTCTGGGGTTTTGAGCCTCTCAGCTTTCAGACTGGAACTTATACTATCAGGCCTTTAGACTTGAATTAGAACTACACAGTGGCTCAGCAATGTGTTTTAATAAACCTCCTATCTAACTGTTGCATACTGATGCTTAAGATCCATTGCACTAAGCAAAAGAAATAAGGTATAAACTCAACCTACAGTTTCTTGTTACTTCTCTATAGTGAACATTTTTTAATGACAATATGAATAAAACTGATTAATCACTGCCAAGACTTGGAAGGAAGGAAAGCAGAAAGCAAACTCATAATAAATATTAAGACTAAAAAGGAAGGACTTTCCTACAGACTACATGAATGCTAAAATAATAACAACAGAATATTGCAAACTATATTATAACAATAGAATCTACCAAAAGTCACACAAGACAAAAATAGAAAATCTGGGGATAACTGTAAAAATTTAATTTATAAACTTTTCCTCAAAAGGAAATCTAGATTCAGACATCTTTGTGAACTCTACCAAAGATTTTAGGAATAAAAACAAACAAACAAAACAGGACAAATTAAAAAAAAAATCATATGCAACCTCTTCAAAAGAAAACAGCTATATATAACATAAAAATATTGGATTTCTTTTAGGAAGTAAAGGTTTGCTTAACATTTTTTAAATTCAAAGTCATTATAATAGACCACATTAACAGAAAAAGGAGGAAAATCACATGGTCATCTCTATTACTCCCCTCCAAAAAGAGAAAACATGTAATACTCATAGTGATGGTAACTCAGTTAATTATAAACACAAGAGAATTATTATATTTGATAAAAAGTTTCTTTAGTAAATAGGAAACATCATTATTAATGATGACATATTCAAACTTTTCATTTGAGGTGAATAAAAGAATGTCTGTTCTAGTCACTTCTATAGAAAACTGTACTGGAGGTACTAGGCGATACTAAAAATTAGGAAAAAGAAATAAAAATGTGTAAGGATTTGTGTAATGGGGAATAAAACTGTCAATATTCAAAGACCAAATGACTGTGTACATATATGCTTAGTTAGAGATAATGATGGATAAACTAGAAAAAAAATGAAGGTTTCATGATATTAACCCAATATATTGAAACAAATTATATATACTGGAAAACAGTTAAAATGAAATTTACACAATAAACAAATTTACATTAAAAATATCAAATTCCACTTTTCACCTTAAAGGGGTTAAAGCAGTCTACAATTACCTCCCATGCTAACAACTAGAAAATTTTACAAAATGCAGAGAACAACTATTTTCATACAAAATGCAGGGTATGAGACCATAAATCCTGAGGAAAAAGAAACAAATGACATGAGTCCCACCATCACTCAGATTTCCTACATGGCGGTATTTCAACAAGACTAAAACTGTAGTTCAAGGACAACAGACTATATTAGGACATAGCACCCACGAGGAAGGTGTCATGCAGAGAACAGTAATCTTTGGCTGAATAACAATCTCTGTATGTGATGTCTGAAAGCTCGCAACATTAGAAGAGAACAACTTAGAAAGAACAATTATGGAAGAGTCATAGCAGACATCTGCATCCCACACAGGGCCTAGAGACTTCGGTAGGCACACTGAGCATTTTGGAGAAATCCAGCATACTTTCTAAGTGTGGCAAAATTAGTCCAAGAATAAAGGCCATCCTATATATGGAAGGACAGTTTTTAGAACAAATAGTGCAACAAAAACTGGACACCTGGACATAGATCTCACCTCTTACATAAAAATCAGCTCAAAATGGGACCCCGACTTAAAACTAAAACTGTTACTTAAAGCACAGAACTTTATAGAATCTTTGGGAAAAAATCTCGGGACTTTGGGTGAGATGAAGATTTCTTAGACAGAACACCATGATAAACTAGATTATAATAAAAATTCAGTTTTCCTCTGCTACAAAGAACATAAAAATAAGCTATAGTCTGAGAGCAAATACTTGGAAACAACATTTCTGAAAATGGACTTGTACTAAGAATACTGAATGCACAAGACTCAAAAGCGAAAAAGCAATCTAATTATAAAATGGGCAAAAGACATAAACAGACATTTCACTGAAAAGGACATACTAATAGCAAATAAGCACACAAAAATATGTTCAGAATCATCCATTAGGAAAATTCAAATTAAGACCACAATGAGATATCCCTGTATACCTACCAAAATGGCCTACAGAAAAAAAAAAAAAGACAAAACCAAATGCTGATAAAAATGAGGAGAAACTGGACTATTTATACATTGCTTGTGGGAGTTTTTTAATAAACCTGAATAGGTACTTACCATATTAGCCCAGTAACCTCACTCTTGGGCACTAATTCCAGAGAAATGAAAATATATGTTCATGTAAAAATAAAAAGGTTTATTGTAGCCCTTTTTTTTGGTACTAGGCCAAAACTGGAAAGAAACCCAAATGTTCTTTAGAGGATGAATGGTTAAACAAATTGTCAGACATCCATATCATAAAATA